GCGTTACTTTTTAGAATCGGTAACGAGTAACGGTAACGAGTTATTTTTTACTGCAAATAACGGTAACGGTTACTTTTAAAAAGCAACTTTCCCCATTCTGCTTCTAAATTAATTAAAACCTTGGTATGCTACCACGATGTGGAGTATCACCTAGTTGCATTTTTCTTTCTTTTTACTAATGGACCTTAACACCGTTACTTTTATAACTGAAAAGAGTTTTACTGTCTGACTATGTTGGGAGTATTGCGAAAGAAAATGGTACCGAATAACCAGGTCCACCGATGATGTCGGAATTATCAGGAACATACACGAGGAGTCAGAAGATGTTGAAAAGAGTAGAGACTTAGAGCGATGTACAATGAGATGTGCTGCTGAGCATTATTCGAAATCAACTGACTGTCGTCGTTAAGCGATAGATATACACAGGTACTGAGAGGTAACCTTCGCTTCGTGAAAAAAGAAAGAAAGGTTGCGAATGTATACATCGTGTGACGCGAAGTAAACAGCTAATAGGTAGAAATACTGTCACGAATTCTGACTGCGTCGGTACCGATAATAAGCGTATTTTGAACGGAATAGTTGTCGACAGAAATAAACGTTGAAATTAACTCGATAATGAGCTCAAGTATTCAACATGACGGTTTATGTAATTCTGAAAAATGCTATGACGATCTGAGAAGAATTAGCGCACTGAATTTTTAATGCATTTAGTCCAAACATTCCGCCTTGACAACTATATTAGTTGTCAAAATAACTGAAGTCAAATTAAACGGAAACTTAAATCTTGGATACAGTCACTGTTCGTTTGACTCGTCCGTCACTTTTGGTAGTAAACACAATTTTACAATCGGTCTCTTGAAAGTTGAGGTAGCCATCTTCACCGTGGCGACGCGAATAAGTCCGTCAGAGCCAGGGTGTACGTCGAAGATACGTGCAAGAGGTCACTTGGCGAGAACCAAAGCTTCAATCCGGACCAGATTTTGTGTCCGATGCCACATTGAGGAGACTTGAAACTGCGATAGATATTCGGTAGCCCATCGTTGCCAAAATGACTCTGTCATCTGGCGTAAGAGTTACCATCGTGTTAGTCGGTTTTCTGGAAGATCTTTTAGAGACGGTTCAGGCACGGCAGTGAGAGCTGAGCCCACGAGGAAATTTCCTGGCGTAAGTGCGGAGACGTCTGATGAATCATCCGAAAGATCCGTTAGGGGGCGAGAATTGAGGATCGCTTCGATTTGAGCCAAGAGCGTTGTCATCTCTTCGTAGGTGAGCAAGGTCTCACCGATAACTCGACGAAGGTGAAACTTGATAGATTTCACTCTTGCTTCCCACTTGCCGCCGAAGTTTGGGGCGGAAGGTGGATCGAACTTCCACGTGACACCGTCGCTAGTAAGATGAGCGACGATACGAGACACTTTCGAAACGAGGCCTTAAGGGGATGCTGGAATGTCCTGTTTTACCATTAATTTTTAAAAACTCTTTTCTCTTAATTGTGTTTATGGATTGAAAAGTCCTCCACAATGAAAGTATCGACAACAACACAGGCAGCCAGTTACAATTTAATACGAAAAATGAAAGAAAATTAAAAATTTTAGTTTTGTCACCGGCTCCTGCAATCAACTCGTCACAATATGTGCTGCATATAAGAGTTTCAGATTTTACCCGTTTAAATTAAGTAGCCAGTAGCCTACAGAAAACCTCGAAGAACAATACTATGCCTGTAGAAATGAATTAGGAGCTTTAGTATAAAAAAAAGAGTCGCCAAAAATTTTATTCGTATGCTACGAATAAAATTGATGTGAAGCCATGAAATCGAGCAGTATTTTAGTTGATCTCTTTCTAAGAGATGACGTTGCAATATGTTAGATAAGGACAGATGAATGCGTTTGAGCGAGACACAACGATATATAATAAGTATAAGAAATGAATGAAAGATGTCACTATTATCAAATTTGGAATTTAAAAAAGTTTGTACTGTCGACCTTGATTAAGTTCGACCGTCACTCCAGCATCTCCTTAAAGAGTCGTTATAACTCGGCATCTGCCCCAACGAGATTGGTGACATTGGCTCGTGATAGTGGAACAGATACTTCTGCGACTCGTAAAGCGTTTGTATGCGGCAATGAAGCCCTTGGTGGAATAATCTGTTCTTCGAGATGTATTGCTGAGATGTTGAAACATATGAAAATAACGAAGTATCCTTTATATGCCTTGGCTCCGCGTCCACGGAAGGTTTTGTGCGTTAACAATCTGGCATAGTCGACTCCCGTATGGTAGAACGATCGACATGGAGTTACACGCGATGCCGGTAGCCAATCCAATTGAGAATATTGTAGGTGACCTTGGAGATGAGGCAATTCATCGGTGTCGATAAACGGAATTAGGCGCAGTAATGGACTTGATTTCGGCAGTGGTTTATTTGCTTTGATAAGATGAATTTCAGTAGAGAAGCACGCGTATTGTGTCAATTTGATCCAGAAAGTGAGCGCAGAGTCCAATTCGATCGGAGTGAGAGGATATTGAGCGGCATGTACATACGTCGGTAGATTTGCGAAAACGTTCGACCATACGTCGAATATCTCGGTGATGAAGAGTAGTTTGGTGAGAGAGGAATATCTTTTTATGAGATCCCATATCTCCGGTTTGGGGCTTAATATAACGACAGCACAGCTTCGTGCACGCTCCTCTCCATGTGCGGTCGAATTTAGAGTGAAGGTGGAGGCAGGCCACTCAGTTGAGGGTTGTTGGAGCCACTGAAGTCCCGATCACCAAAACCGTTCTTGTTTTAGTCGTTGCGGAGAGATTCCTCGCGATGCCAAGTCGGCGGGATTTTCTCTCCCTGCGATGTGATACCAGCAAGAATTGGACAGTTCTTGTATGAACGATACCCGATGTTGCACTAATTCCTTTCATCTTGATGGATGGCTCTTGATCCAGGCCAGCGCGACAATAGAATCGGTCCATAGATGAGCTGTTGTGCGAGTCAAGTCGAGCACGTCGCGAACCTTGCGAATCTCAACTTTACGAGAAGCACGGCAAGGGATAATTCGAGTCGAGGTATCGTCACGCGTTTGGGAGGAGTCACTTTTGTCTTTGTACTGACGAGAGTCACGCGAGTGTCAATAGGCGCAACAACGCGAATATAAACAACCGCCGCGAGGGTGTGTTGAGAGGCGTCTGAAAATTCGTGAAATTTAACTTCGAGAGTATCCGAACTCGTACCAAACCAGCACGGAATGGAGATAATCGACAAATTTTTTAATTGCTCGATAAAGTCGATCCATTGAGATTTGAGGACGTCCAAAAGTTTGCAATCCCAATCAAGACGAATAGCCCACAGTTCTTGCATGAAGATTTTCGCGCTAATAATCGGTGCAATCCATCCGAGCGGATCAAAGATGCGCACGATAAATGAGAGTACTGAACGTTTCGTGATTGCGACTGCCCGCGGAGGCGACAGCGTGGAGAACATAAAGCTGTCACTCAGTCGATTCCACTGAACGCCGAGCGCGTAATGCGTAGCCATATCGCCGATCGGTAGGAACACTTCTTGATCGTGAATTGGGATGTTTGCGAGCAGATCCGGAGAATTTGCCAGTCATTTTTTTAAGCCGCCATTAGTGTCTTGAAGTTGCTGCATTTTCTCTGTCGCGATAGCTATGGTATCTGCTCCTGACAGAATGTCATCGATATATGCGTCGCAACGAAGGATTTCTGCAATAAAGGCGCGCGTGATTTCGGATTCGATAACGAGTTGTTGTAAGCAATGAAGAGCGAGATATAGCGCGCACGTGATACCGTATGTCACTGTACACAAAAAATATTCGTACGGATCTTCGCTGGGCGAATATCTCCAGAGAATTTTTTGCAACGGCCAATCGTCTTGATGAACTTGGCGATACATTTTTTCGATATCGGCCACGAAAACGATGTCAACGCCAAAGAATAATAGTATCCATAAGTTCCGTTTGTAATTTTGGTCCGATATGAAGGCAATCATTTAACGAGATTCCGAGATTGGTTTTTTGTGATCCGTTGAACACGATGCGGAATTTCGTCGTTGAGCTAGTATCTTTAATGACACCGTGATGCGGCAGAAAGAATTCGCATCGCGAAGAGTCTAGAGAGCCTGAAAAGCGCATATGATCCAGCTCAAGATACTCACGCAAGAATTCCGCGTATGTAGTTTTAAGGGATGCGTGCGTTTCGAAGCGTGTTTCCATGCGACGCAGCATCCTGAATGCTGGAGCACGAGAGTCACCAAAATCACTCACACTTTTTCAAAACGGTAACCGAACTACGAAACGTCAGAGTGAGTCGTTTTGAAGTGGTTGTTTTCACACTGAGTTTCTTTCGGTGTGCATGTAGCATTGGGTGACGGTAAGATTTCTTCTTGATGCTAAAACTGTTGCAGTAGATCGAGAAGTTCAAAATCGAGAAAATACTGAAATCCGTTGACTGAGTCTTGCGAGAGATGATCGTTATCGTTGGAGAGTTGTCCGGATAATATCCATCCGAGGGCGGTTTTTTGCGCGATCGATGATTCGCCGTTTCCGCGGCAAATGCCATTTTCGACAATTGGCGCGTAGACACTTGCACCGAGAACCAAATCAATTTTTCCTGGCATTGAGAAATTCGGGTCCGCAAGGTGGAGTCCGTCAATGTGTGGCCAGTGAGTGGATGTAATCTTCTTGGGTGGCAAGTAAGCGGTGAGTTTCGGCAGTACGAAAGCTTTCAGTTTGATGGAAAATGTCTAATTGATCCTTGAGATAATTTCAAGAGAGACCCGTTTCCATTAGAGACATCGAAGCGTTGTGTGCCGATTTCAAGAATCGGGACGGACGCGGATTTACGTGATAACTTTAGAAGCTGCGCGGCGGACTTGGAGATAAACGAAGCTTTAGATCCTTGATCGAGCAATGCCCGTAGCTGGAATCGTTCTTCAGCTCGAAAGATAGCCGTAACTAGAGTGGTTGCGAGAACCACTAGAGTGCGTCTAATTACGCGTGATTGTGCAATGTGACTGCACGTGTGAGGAGTACAGGTCCGTTGGGTTGAGATGCTCCAGAGATGCCCGTGGTAGTGCCGTTAGTCGACGGGACGGAGATTGCAGTCGGAGTGGACGTTGTCGAGGCGTCGAATTCGACGGTTGCTACATGCAACGTTGAATGATGCTGCTTGCGACAGAATCGACAGCGTTTCAAAGTGCGACATGCTTTGAGGTGATGAAGTCCGAAACAATTGAAGCACAGGTTTTTTGCAATGACAACCTCGCGTCGTTGACTCACAATCTTCTCAAGGTATTTTGGGCACGACGCGATATAACGTCCCGAGTTACATATCGCACACTGTGGTACGACAGCGGTAGCGGTGTATGCTCTTGCATTTGACTGCGAACGTACCGACATGGAGTTTGGAGCTGGTTGTTTAAATGGCATTATGACTCGTTCGATAGATTCCAGGGTTTGCACGCGTCCGACCAGGAACTGCTCTAGATCACCGAAGGACGAGGAAGTAGATTTCGCGCTGAGAGTTGTTTCCCATTCCTTCAATGATTCGACGTCGAATTTACGTATGATCATGAAGACGATGATGTGATATCAGAATTTTATAGGACATTCGAGAGCTTCGAGGGTGTCGAGCGCCTCTCTAACATCGCCGAGAAGACTCTTTATTTCTGTTGCACCTGCAGTTTTCAATTTGCGGATTGCAAATAAGACGGATAATTGCGCGTCGATCAGAACTCGTTTATTGTCATAGCGAGCCACGAGAATTTCCCACGAGCGTTTAAGATTTTCGCTAGTGATGGGGATGTTCTTCAATTGTTGCGCCGTTTCACCGGTTAGACTCTTTTTTAAATAATGGAGCTTTTCAATAGCCGAGAGATCGTTGTTTTCTATGACTATGGACGTGAAGAGGTATCAAAAGTGACTCCACTGAGCGTAGTCACAGGAAAACTTCGGTAAGTCGATGCGCGGTAATCGACAAAAGTGAGATCCTGTAGGAGAGTTAGTTGTGTTGATAACGGTATCCTGTTGCGCCTTTTTTTTTAAGGATATGCTTTACGCATTCCCCGGAGGCGCGGGAACGCTCCCGGGTATATGCGGGACTCTCCCCCACACAATAAGCGTGGGGGACTACCCATTAAAACCACCGCCGGTGTCCTTCCCAGGCCATTGTAAGGGCGCCCTGGTTATTGCCATCAGCATGCATTCAGGACGTTCTCGGCCTCGTTGACCTTATGGTCAACTCCTCCCCAGGAGGTCCAGGAGCCCCCATGAGGCTTGACCAACCAGTTACGGACGAGGGTGGGACACCGCCCCCCCGTCCCGCTCCCACTTTGGCTGTATAGGGGGAGCAGAGCCGACCTCCGGGTTCCCGCTCGGGAGGCCGACCCCTCACGTCCGGCGGGTGGCTGGGGTTTTCACTCCGTCCTCGCCGGACTCGCTCTTCTGGCGACGGGGAGGCTATAGCCCGGCGCTCCCGTCGCTTCTCTTAACGTAATGGGCATTTTTTTGTTTTCCGTTGCGAAAAATCATTGAGGTGGCTATTTTACAAGCTGCCCCAAGCCGGGTGTACGATTTTCCTTCCAGGTTTTTTTTTTTTTAACGGGTTTTCCTTCCCATAACTCCGCTCCGCCGGGCCCCACCTCGGAA